TTTTTAATGCAAAAAGCCGTTTTGAAAAATCACTTTTAGTTCTTGAGAAATAAAATTTTGAAATAATCGACAATTTTCTCGAATTTTGCAATTTTCGCCGATTAAGTTTTAAAAATTCGTATAAAATCCAGTTCTTGGAATATGAGTATAAAAATTTTTCAAAGTGTTAATAAAAGTGTCCTCTTTCCAATAAACCAACCCGTTTCGAAAAATAATTTTTAGTTTTTGAGAAAATAATATTTGAAGTTTTGATAAAATTTTCGATGTTGCAATTTTTATTGATAACTAATAATAATTAATTTCTTGAAGGATCCTTCTTACAACAATCTAGCGATCAATAATTAAAAATAGAACTAAAAGTATACAACAATTTAGCTCCAAATTATAATTAAAACTAGAACTAACACTAGACCTAGAACTAGAAAGTTTCGGGATTAGCCATCTTGAGAGACATTTGGCTAAATCCAAATGTTTCTAGTTCTAGATCAAGTGTTAGTTCTAGTTTGATCCTAGCGCTGTTGCTAGAACTAACACTATACCTAGGACTAGAATCAATCGTTCTAGATCTAATAAATAAAAAGGTCTAATAAATAAAAAGATCTAATAAATAAAAAGATCTAATAAGATACTATATCACTAGATTTACCGATAAATCGGTAAGGTTGGCAACGCTGAATGAATTAACAAATAGAATTAACAAACCTTGGTTCTTTTAGTTCTTTCAATTCTTTTTTCGTTTTTCTCCCAACTTCATCATTTTCGGGACTACTCGATCGACTCNTAAAAATAGAACTAAAAATATACAACAATTTAGCTCCAAATTATAATTAAAACTAGAACTAACACTAGACCTAGAACTAGAAAGTTTCGGGTTTAGCCGTCTTTAGAGACGTGCGGCTAAACCCGAAACTTCCTAGTTCAAGGTCTAGTGCTAGTTATAGTTTTACACTTGCACTGTTGCTAGAACTAATACTATGCCTAGAACTAGAATCATTTGAGATTAGCCATCTTGAGAGACATATGGCTAAATCCAAATGTTTCTAGTTCTAGATCAAGTGTTAGTTCTAGTTTGATACTAGCGCTGTTGCTAGAACTAACACTATACCTAGGACTAGAATCAATTGTTCTAGATCTAATAAATAAAAAGATCTAATAAGATACTATATCACTAGATTTACCGATAAATCGCTAAGGTTGGCAACGCTGAATAAATTAATAAATAGAATTAACAAACCTTGGTTCTTTTAGTTCTTTCAATTCTTTTTTCGTTTTTCTCCCAACTTCATCATTTTCGGGACTACTCGATCGACTCATAGTCCAAAATTTCGTTTCTTTCCTTTCTTTTCCACCGTTTTCTTCACTGTGATCCTCTTCATCTTCAACTTCTTGATCGGTATCCCCAGCGGGAACCACCCTGTACTCACCGTTCTTTTTCTGCCCGCTCACAACGGATATCTCACTAACTTTATTATTTAACTCGATTTTTTCGTAATTCTCCTCGTTACATCGATCCGATCGCCTCCAAGACACATTTTCGCGTCTCTTTCGCATGGCGTATACACAAAGCACTGCTAAACAAGACGTACACGCAAGTACACATCCGGCTATGGTGCTTACGAAGATTGTTTTTGCCGTGGTGTTATCGACGAGTCTTCGTGAAACCGCTAAGGTAACGCTGGCTTCTGCTTTACCAGCTTTGTTTTCTGCGGAGCAAATGTAAACGCCGGCGTCTTGTAGGTCGGCTGTTAAAATGGTTAAGTTGCTGGAGTTATTTTTTAGATGAACGATGTATAATTTTTTTCCGTTTGAAAATGTAGTTCCGGATAAATTGGCTATAACTCGGTTTTTAACGAGCCATCTCACACTCGGTTCTGGGATTCCCGTTATCCGACAAGTCATCGTAACATTTTTGCCTTCGACTCCTTGCGTTTTCGAGTTGTACGCGAATATTTCTGGGACGCAAGCGAATTCGTCGAGTCCGAGTTTATCCCACGGTTTTTCTTCGAGCCTTTCCGGGAATTGACAACTAGGAGGCACTCCAAATGGTACGTTTTGTTTCGACATCCAATCGAGAAGGGGTCGTAATGCGCAAGAACAGTTCCACGGATTGCCATTTAACTCTAAACCTTGTAACCGCCGAAGGGAAGAGATTGAGTTGGCGGGCAACTCCTTCAGTTTGTTATTGTCCAATTTAAGGAACGTCAGTGATCCTTCTAATCCTTTGAAACCGTTCGGATTGATCGACGAGATCTTGCAGTCGGATAATTCCAATCGTATGAGATGTTGTAATCCGTCGAAGGCTTCGTTTGGAATTCCTTGTATCGGATTTCCACCTAATTTTAACTCTCTTAATTCCTGAATCGAGCCGAAAACGTGCGAAGGAACCGAGGTGATAAGATTGTAGCTTAAGTCGAGCTCAACGAGATTCTTCAAGTTCCGAAACGCGAACTTATCGATCGTTTTCAACTTACACTTTGCAACGTAAATTTTCTGAAGATTTAACAATCCGATTTTACTGAAATCGTCCTCCTTCAAATTCGGAATGTAATTATTCGTTAAATCGATTACTTGCGTAGCCGAATCCAATTGACTCGGAATCGAGGTTAAATTCGCGTTTACACAAACCGCGGACTCCTTTCCATCCCGCCATTTACATTCGCACAATCGAGGACAATCGCAAACGATTGCGCGAACTAAGAATCCGAGTAAAAAGACGAACCGTTTCGGTAAATCGGTCATCTTGGCTTGTCCATTAAATAGTTTGATGACATTCTGTTTCGTCGTCGTCCGTCTCCATGCTTTTCAAACGTTCAAAGAGTGGAAGAAAATTCGCCTGAAACAAAAAGAAAAGTGTTATTTATGAATAAATTTTGTTTTATCACGTCAGCGAATTTAGATTGAACGCAACCGCGTCAATTATAAATTAAGAGTTGAGGGCGGAGCGAAATTATTGGGCCATAAACAGAATTTAGTGTGAAACCGGGGATGCGAAATTGCCGCCATAAAATCGGCACTTAATTCGATAGAGCGAATTGCACCCAAGCGACGTACGATTAGCCCGTTGTTTTTAATAATCAAAAATTGTAACAATACATTGATTAACTCGCTTAAACATAGTTTTTGACATCTTACATCTTGATTCTAATACACTATAATTTAATGATTTCGTCTAAAGCGTAAATCGCGCCAATGTGACATCTAGAAGTATTTCCTATATAATCCTTATGAAGTCTGCATTGCATCTTTGTTATTTATATCAAGTCTTTAAAGCCTGGATTCAACCTCTAATATGTTTCAGGACATGATGGATACATTAAGTTTGCAAATCTAGTCTTTATCAAATCCACACCAACACAATTAGTGGTGAAACGGATATCCGGCCATTTTTTTAAATCCGGGCGGATACCGGATAGCTACCAAATATCCGGCTTTAGCCGGATATTAAAAATCTATTACTTAGTACTCCACCATTCACAGGAATTAGTATCTTTTTTAGTTCAAGTTCAACCCTAATAGGACTTTTTTCATTAAATACAACTTTGTTTATGTCAGGTTTCTCATTAGCAACCTCATTGTAACAATCCCAATACGATATGTAAAATCTCTTGTTGCAGTTTCTTGTAGTATTCTTGTAGTATTCATTCATTACTAACAGAACTGTCGCTGCTATCACTTTCGATTATTAATTAAATTATCCTCTTTTTAATGCACAAAATCTTTGAACCAACACGATTTCAAAAATAACATTTAGTTTTTGAGAAAACAATATATGAAGTTTTGATAAAATTCTCGATGTTGCAATTTTCATCGATAATTTTCAAAATTTGTTATAAAATTAATTTTTTGCAGGATCCTTGTGGAAATAACACCAATTATTAATTTAAGTATCCTCTTTTTAACGCAAAAAGCCGTTTTGAAAAATCACTTTCAGTTCTTGAGAAATAAATTTTTGAAATGATGGACGATTTTTTCGAATTTTGCAATTTTCGCCGATTAAGATTTAAAAATTCGTATAAAATCCATTTCTTGGAATATGAGTTTAAAAATCTCTGAAAGTGTTAATAAAAGTGCCCTCTTTCCAATGAACAAACCCGTTTTCAAAAATAATTTTTAGTTTTTGAGAAAACAATATTTGAAGTTTTGATAAAATTTTCGATGTTGCAATTTTCATCNCATCCTGTAGAAGGCTGGCTACTGTTTACAGAGGATTAAATACTATATGAAAAGATTAAAACCCGAAAAAGTTTCCAACTTTTGTTAATTTCATTATTAATAAAATATAACTTTAAGATTTTTTTAACAATTTGATGATAAAATATAACGATAATATCGATAATAAATTTTGTGAGAGACGCTTTCCATAGCGAGAAGATTGCGGTGTCGTTTAGTTGAATTGGACTCTAAAACGATTTCCAAGGGAGTAATGTCACGGATATGGTCGCTGTTAAATTATGCAAATCTGAAAATCGAAAACCAGTTCCCGAGAATGTGACCCGCATAATAGTCCGGAAGGAATTAAAACACTAAAACTCGACGCTTTTTTTTTAACGCTTTTTATTCAAACAATATATTTATAAAGGATATGCTTTATCAGGATAATACAAACAGTATTCTTTTTTTTTTTGTAAGTTTCGCAAATCCAATTGAGTTGCGCGATGCGATGGGAATCTATAACGTTAATATCACAAATATACTCTATAAAATCTAATATCGAAGTAGAAATCTCGTTTTATTAATTTTTTTTTATTTAAACGGAAGGAAGAAGAAAAATTTCCACACGTTTTTATTTTTTATTTTCCTTTTCGTACATGTATTAAATATTTATTAACTTGATTCTTAAAAAAATTTTTCGAATAATTCCATTCTTAAGTGGGTTATTACAACGTACCCCGATTTAAAATTTTAATTAAGCCCCCTCTCGCCACTCCCCTTCTTCTTCATCTTAATCCCTCATTTAAAATAATTGCTTACAGCGTCTTTTTAAGAACCAAGTCGTTACTCGTTTAATGTCATCCACTTCGTTAATTAGTCCGTTTATTTATTTATTTATTTTTTCTTTGAAAAATTTTATTTATTGCAAAACTTATCTGGATTAGACATCAAATATTTAGTCAGATCGTTTTCGAATTCGCTTATCGTAAAACTAAGCGATTCGCCGGGATCTAACATATCTTTAGGATCGTCACCGGAAGATGAGGATTTCGATTTAGTTCCCATCCTTTCTTTTCGTAAATTATCGCAATTCTCTTTCATTTTAGTCAATTCTTTTTGTAAACTTCTATATTCTTCGAGGAACTTTTCGAGTTGAGCCGCGTGGTAATCGTAGGTGTTTAAATTACCGTGATTCGATGATTTTTGCGTATAAACTCGCCGTTCTAATTGCGATACTTCAAGTAGAGGAGTTGCGGTGGTGTTATCGCGGAGATTAAAATAGCTGGTTGTTTTTGATGTGATTCTTGGGTTATGATGTAAACGGGGGGAATCCGACAATCTTCTTGCTGTTCCTTCAAAACTGCTTCCTCCACTACTGTTGTATCGACTTTCGGGGAGTAGAGGAGATTGGCTGTTTGTTGATCTATATTTTGAGGACGATGATTGGGGATGTTTTTTTCTTGGTAACGTACAAAATAATTCTGATAAATCATCGACACTTCCTCCTTCGCTACTTGCTTTTTGCGGGGCATTATCCGAGTTCTCTATTAAATCCGGGTATTTCTTTTCGTCGTTTTCTGCTAAACTTGATAAATCCGATGAGTATCCCGACCCTAAAAGATTACCAATCGTATTCGGTTGTCTCTGTAAGTTATATGTACCACACGTCGAATTGAAAATTTTCTTCAAATCGTCTCTAGAAAGAAAATAAATTACCACCACTAAAGTTATCATTTCTAAAATCAATTAATAAGGTGAGATCAGCGTTGCCAAATCTATGCCGGCCAAATATCGGTAGAATCTAATAAGAGGACTGTTACATCCGAGGAATAGGTGCACAACCCAATGGCCCGTTCGTGACGTCATGCATGTGTAGTCAACTACTATTTCACACTTTGAATTAGCAAATACTAGTAGAGCTAACACTAGTTCTCGTTTTAGTTTAATAAAAATATACGACAATCTAGCGATCAATAATTAAAAGTAGAACTAAAAATATACAACAATTTAGCTCCAAATTATAATTAAAACTAGAACTAACACTAGACCTAGAACTAGAAAGTTTCGGGTTTAGCCGTCTTTAGAGACGTGCGGCTAAACCCGAAACTTCCTAGTTCAAGGTCTAGTGCTAGTTTTAGTTTTACACTTGCACTGTTGCTAGAACTAATACTATGCCTAGAACTAGAATCATTTGGGATTAGCCATCTTGAGAGACATATGGCTAAATCCAAATGTTTCTAGTTCTAGATCAAGTGTTAGTTCTAGTTTGATACTAGCGCTATTGCTAGAACTAACACTATATCTAGGTTCTAACACTATATCTGTTGCAATTTTCAATGATAATTTTCAAAATTCGCTATAAAATTAATTTCTTAAAGCATCCTTGTGGAAATATCACTAATTATTGATTAAAGTATCCTCTTTTTAATGCAAAAAGCCGTTTTGAAAAATCACTTTCAGTTCTTGAGAAATAAATTTTTGAAATGATCGACAATTTTTTCGAATTTTGCAATTTTTGCCGATTAAGCTTTAAAAATTCGTATAAAATCTATTTCTTGGAATATGAGTTTAAAAATCTCTCAAAGTGTTAATAAAAGTGCCCTCTTTCCAATGAACCAACAAGTTTTGAAAAATAATTTTTAGTTTTTGAAAAAGCAATATTTGAAGTTTTGATAAAATTTTCGATGTTGCAATTTTTATCGATAACTTTCAAAATTCGCTATAAAATTAATTTCTTAAAGCATCCTTGTGGAAATATCACTAATTATTGATTAAAGTATCCTCTTTTTAGAGTTGCTTCGTTAGTTAAATCAGCATCAAGAAAGTTCATTTTGTACCTTGGATCCAAATAAGTTGACATATCTTATCAGATTTCTTATTAATTTCATTTTTATTCAAATATCGTAATAATGTGGCAATGTAGGGTTCACTTCAGAAATGCACCAGAAATTCTAACCATAATGGCCGGATAGATATGCTGAATATCCGGTATCCGGCTTTTTGCAAAATCACTATCCGTTCCATCACTAAGCACAAGCACCAAGTCAAGTCCCCACAAAATCGAATCTCTTTCACTTTTACTTGCGTTTTTGAAAGCTTCCATCAAGTGTCCATAATATTGCTGCGTGATTTAATTAAGGCCAAATAAAGCAAAAATTGACATTTGGTTTTCAAATGACTTCTTAGAGCATAAACCATAATTAAGAGCATAACTCAAGTTTGAAGTAAAAATTAAAAAAGTGTATATGGTTTCTGGCAGATTTTGATAATACTCGCTAAGCTCTATTAAAATTGAGTATAGTGTGAAAGTTTATTGAATACACGATACATTTATAATTCCTTTACAGTTCTACCCAAGAGAATGCGAACCCGCGCCCAGTACATTCGACCGTACTAAAAGTGAAGCCGGTAATGGGACTTTCCACTTCGTAATGCCCGTCTTAACTTTGACAAAACACTGCTTTAACATAATGAAGCCCAGAGCCGGATAGCACGTTTCATTACAGTTGAATGTTCGCCGTTAAAGTAATTAACTGCCGAGGTCGCTGCCAAATCCTCGTCGTTTCAACACATTGAAATCGAACCGACTCCAAATTGTTAAAAAAAATTTTTAAAATCGTATTTGTTTTTAGATTAATTAGAAAACTTTAATGGATGTTTTGAATGGATGATTGATACATT